GCTTGCGCCACCGGGCTGGCCCCCAGGAACTGCATTCTTAATTTTACTTAATTTAATAGCTACCTGCAGGCAGTAGCTACTATATTGGACAGCACAGTTCTGTGTTGATCTGGGCAAAGGTTTCACTTACGTAAAACCCAAGGCTGTACACTTAAGATGTGTTCACTTCATTTATGCAGTTTCTACTTCAATCTTTCTCTTTGTTTTACAAGAGTTGTAGCAAGATTCCATGCTGGCTTTGTGGCAGTGCCCTATGAAACCAGGGCTCCTGAGGACAGACCTCCCTGAACCTGAATCAGATCGGACTCTGTGCAAAGCCTCAGTGAGGCACTGAGCAATCACTCTGCAGTCCTCAGCCTCAGTTTCTTCCACATTTTCAATGAAGTTAAATATTTCCTCTTCCCCATCTCCGTTACCCCCCAACCCCCCAAAGAGAACATTTAGGAAGTGTTGATTCTGTTATTTTGCCTAGTCTTTGCCCAAAGGAATAAACTAATAAGGACCACAATACCTGGGATGGGAAAAACACCTGATGAAAGCAAAGGGTGAACAAATACAGTAAAGAAATTAATTCCTTTGCAGAGTTCACTAGTCAGACTCCCTGTGGAGTTACTGACATGCTCTTAAATTCCTTGGGGGATTATCTGTTTTAAAATCTGGTAGTTTCAGACCATTAAGCATGAGAGGCATTTTTCGAGTTTCATCTGGGATTCTGTGCCTCATTAGCACAAGGTATGCCCTCACAGCCTAGCTGTCACCTCCAGAAAGCAGAGAGGACATCAGACACTGAGTGCTGTCTGAAAGACCAGCCTGTGACAACCTGCATCATTAGGCTGTCTACCTGATCTAAGGATAATTGTGCTAGGTTATAAATCTTACCTTTGGTGTGCTAGCTAACCACAAACTCTTAATACCTCACTTTAAAGAATAACCAATTGTGAGATTTGGATGGCAGCTCTCGGGGGGTGCCTGCACAGGATTCTCTGGGAAGCCCCTCCAGGCTCTGGGCTAGCCTGACAGCTCATGGGACACAGCACCGCACACCTCTACCCTACGAGGCCTTCAAGTCTAGTCTGGAGTGGACATGGAGGAAGGTGGGATAAACCAAGCTCTACTTTCTTCACCTTTCTGATCTTATTGACAAAAGAAAGACTCATGAGCCATAAGAGTGAACCCTTAAATCCACCACCTTGGCTCTAATGACAAGTGGTTTGTGCAAGTGCTTGTAAGAAAACATTCACTTCATAAAGCTAGTACTTCAAATGCCCATTCCCTAAGGCTCAGCCTTAATTTAACTTGGTATTTTGTTCAAGGAACGGTTTATAATCCCAACAAAACTCCATCTTGGCAATTTTCTTCAATAACGCCAATACCTTAGTCACCTCTATATTCTTTCAGAGGCTCTTAAATTGAGACCCATACCCTCCCCAAAACTTGATGTAATACTGTATATTTATTTATACATGCATTTTGGGGGGAGTTCATTGCTTTCATTAGATTCTTAGTGATCCATGACCCTAAAAAACTTAGGAACCATTGGTCTATTCCATTTTACAAACCTTTCTAGAATTCTGTACCTTAGTGTTTACCTAGACAAACTAAAAAAGATCGTTCCTCCATCAATCAGTAATGCTTGAAAATTTCAGTCTTGGGATTAGTTAAGTCTCCTAGAAGTCTCCACCCATCACCTCTCCCTGCATGTCAAGGTTAACTAGCCAGGGCTAGAGGGGTAGGAAAGAGGGCAGGTTGTCTCATATGAGAAGGGGATTATGGGAGATGGCATGAAAAAGATGGCTGTAAATGCCTGCCATCCCTCTATGCATGTCCCTCCACAATGTGACTTCAATGGTCTGCCCATGAGGAGGTGAAGTCTACTTCTCCACCCTTTGAATCCAGGTTGGGCCACACGACTTGCTTTGGCCAACAGGGCATTAGCAAATATGACACAAGCGGAGGCTTGAAAAGAGGTTACACATCAAGGTTTGCCCTCTCTTGCTGCTAGGAACCCCGAGCCCACCATGGGAGGCAGCCCAGACTAACCTCCCGGAGGACGAGACCTCAGCTATTCCAGCTGCCATCCCAGATATGTGAATGAGGGCATCCAAAAGACTACCCCAGCAAACCCACAGAATTATGAGACATAAATCATTTTTAAAAAGTCATTAAGTTTGCAGTGATTTGTTATGCAGTGAAAACTAATAGTAAGTATTAATTAAGCAGCAAAAAGACAATCCAAGGGCCAAAAAGAGCTATGAAGAGGAAGCTTCTAATCTCTGGTAAAATGTCCCTGGGATCCTTGACTTGGCCATCTTTTTCAGATCCACTGCAAAGTTTCTATGTAAAGATCCCACCATGGAGGCCTCAATATAAAGTGAAAAAAAAACACCTCATTAAATTCTCCGGGCATCAAGAAATATTCTGCTTGAATTCTCTTTGCCCTCTCAAAAACTTCTCCTTTGATGAGTAAGCCTGGAAAAATTCACTGTTTATGAATGCCACTTACCTTAAGTAGTTCATACATATAAAACCGGATATCAAAGTCTGTCAGGATCTGGTACAGTTGCTGAAACAGATTTCAGAAAACAGAAAGTTAATTTAGTCTCATTGAATCTTGTCATCCCAAATGTTGGTCATTATTCACTGCAACCTTAGTGCATAAGTCAGTTAAGAATCCCAGAACTTTTTCTACCCGATCTGGAACAAATGGGGACAAAGGCTAAAGATGAGGGTCTAGTACTTCATGTCTTCAGAAGAAAAATAAGAAAGGAATTCCAGGGGAGAAAAACATTTAAACCAACTCAGATCTTTTAAAAACGTGTTTAATGCTTCATGATTTCAATACCCACGATGACATTTTTATGGAGACAAAGTCCAAGTTGTTCAACTGTCCTCATATTCTTACTGCACTTCAAACAAACTGACCCCACAGTACACTTTACAGCACTGAGTTCTGAGTGGACAGCAGAGCTTGAAACTTTATCGGCCCATGTGGTAAAACAGCAGGAGGACAATCAGTCTGTTTGTGAAAGAAACCCGAGGAAAATGAACTGCATTAGCATTTGGAGATGGTAAGAGACTTAAAAAATCTATACCCTCCACTCCCCCAAAACCAATTCCAGGCTGGAAAAAAGGAACACTTCACAGACAACAACTGATGGAAACTAAAGACACAAAATGTTTTAGGGGGAAGAAAAAAGGAGTGATAGAGTGAGACGTTAAAACAGAAAAAGACAGAGGTACTGAAAATAACTCCAGGCCAAACTGACACACAAATGAAACTTTTCATTATTGATAATCCCAAGACCTACCCACCGGGAGTTTTTACAAAATTTCAATTTCTAAGAGGCAGAGTAGCATTTATGCATCCAGGTTCATTAAAAATCATCACAAACCCTGGTCAGAAACTATACTATTATTTTTGATAATCAATTCTAAGTAAATCTCTTTCCTCATCAGTCCAAGCAGCAGTTTCCATAAAATTAATCAGCACGCCTTTATTAAACATTATTTTGTTTCTCCCTTTGTTGAAAGACTCAAGCAATGTTAAGAATCTCTCCAAGGAGCACAGAACAGTGTATGTGATGTGTCTGTGTAAAAGGGGAAGGGAAGTAAAACTACACATTCATATTTGTATCTGCAAGAATGATATAAAAGAGATGAATAAAAAGTGGTTTCATGCATATATGTGTGTGGGAGATAGACAGTTGGGGCACAGGGGAAAACGGCATACCATTTTATGTTTTAGATCTGTATAAATATGTTACTTGTTCAAAAAAAATTTTTTTAAGAAAAACAACAAATTTGCTAAGAACCAAATGTAACATTTTCTAAGAACACCAGAACTTAGTTTCTTTCTCAAATTTCCCCTTTTAAGTAAGAGTAATTCTCCCTCCAGCTTAGTAAGAATATCTGATTTCATCCACTGCAGGCAGCAGTTAGCTAGGACACTAGAGGGAATGAAACCACACAGCCCAGTACACCGGGGGCACCATGGAGCTCCTCCGCCACCAGAGGCTGACCCTGGCTGGGACCGACTGCGCGACACACACACACACAGACATAGGCACGCCACTTGCGCTCAGGAGAGATTCAACTGCATAACAGCCAAACATCCAAGTTTTTGGTTCTCCCCTGGGCTCTGCACAGCAAGGAGGGCTTCTCAGCCAGCACACCAAACTTCTATCTACAGACACAGGCCAAAGATACTATCATCTCTTTGGGTGTCAAACCAGCTCCTCCTCTGAGAGTTAAATCTCTCCCCGGCTGTGCCAAGGTGAACCTCAAGTCAATAACTAGGCCATGAAAGTGAAAAAGGCATTTTCTAACCCTCACAGGGCTGGAATTTTTTATTTCCAGAAGACAAATAAGGGCTATTTTATTATTTGCACTTTTATCTGTGGAAGGCCTTCCTCTCATATCACATGGTATCTTTACCAAGCATGTGTGTAAAGTCTGTAAATGTCCTTGGGCTGCCAACATAGTATTTCTAGCTACTCCAACCAATATCAATTTTATGTTAACACAAAAAACACTAGTTGAATATAGTGTTTCAGCCTAAAACATTATAAAGTCCTGAATGACAGGCTGATGCCCACTCTCATTTCTCAGGAGCTCTGGGGAGGAGGAGACCAAACTACATCTGTAATGTTTTACCACCTGGGCCTAAAATTCAGGACTCGCCAGGGTCCACAGTCTGGCTTCCTCCAACTCTTGCAGCTCTGTCTCCACTGTAGCCCCCAGGAGCACCCAACTCGGCCCAAACAAACCCGTATTTGCCACCTCCATTCTTCCTTCTCCAGGGTCCCTGCCTCCCCCCCCCAAAATCTGCAATAGCCCACCCCTCCTCCTTAGCCCGTAAAGTCAAAACCCACCCCACCTGGGCTCCACAGAGCTGACAGTGGTCTCTTCTTTCTCTGAACCCCCATGCCGTTCATTGTCCTCTGGGGTGTTCACAGGACACTGACAGCAGTAGTGTCCCAGAATTAACATTCCTCATTCAGGTATTGGCAGAGACCTGAAGTTCCCAAGGTAATTTCTCACTCTGTTGTGAACAACAAGAGGCTGCTCCACTTTGCCCATACCCCGAGTCCCATGACAGCGTCCCTGCGTCCTGGGGCATACACACGATGGGGAGAAATGGGTGCTGTGGCTGGTGGCAGTCACCCATTTGTTCATTCAAGATCTCTGAATCTTCCCTCCCCTAAACATGTCAGGGGTCCACCGCACACCTCAGTCCATACTCTAAGTCCTCACATAGCAGAACAGCAGAATAACACATGCTTTCTATACACCACACCATGTAAGGTGGTTCCCTGACTGCACACAGAAGGCAGTCAATAAATATTTGTCTTTGATGTTGTTCACCAGTCAATGGAACAAAATTAAAACGGTCTTCCGAGAAACAGAAGTACTAACAGTCCATGACAATTTACAAGGGGACACTTCATAAGAACCATGCTTTTCCTCCATCCTTCTTAGCCAGCTATGTGGAGAACATCATTAACCAGTCAACTGCAAAATGCTGGCTGGAAGTTAGCTTTGCTTACATTTTCATCAAGTAAGTGACTTAACAAAAACAAAACAAGCCTATGCCTCCCGGGAGATTACAAAGGTGCTGAAGAAGAAACTATTCCCCAACCTTCACTTGGTTCCCAAGCCTCAAACACAATGGCATTTCCCTAGAAATCAGTTCTACTCCAGGACTACTCAAAGAGCCCAAGGTGGAAATTGCCTGGGACTTTTAATCAACCTCAGAAAGCTGAGGAAGAGAAAGAGAAAAATGCATTTTGATCAACAGACTGAGGGCCTCCTTAGTCTAAAACCGACACCCAGCAAGGAATAGCCCAAAGTGGGCCCCACTCCTGCTGTATACACACAGACAGGTCCTCAGACCCCGGCTGCGGTTCAGCTGCACCATGATCAGCTACAGGTTCCAAGGCCTCATTCTCAAGATTGTCATTTAGGAGGACTCCACACTTCAAGAAGGTTCCCAGCCAGATGTGGGAATCACCAACACAACAAACTCCCACCCTGAACATACAGCTTGCACATTCCCCAACATACACAGCTCAGTCTAGTCCAGAAATCCCAGGGGTCCCCATGCAGGGAGAAGAAAAACCAGGGGACTGGGAATGTAAAGTGAAAGTAAAAGGTGTTTAATGCAGGAGTCACCAGTTTTGGCATGAACACGTAACCCCAAGATCCAGAGTAAAACCAAGGTCAACATTTTTAGAAATTGAAGGAAGCAAAACAAATCACTAATCAAGCAAATAAATCAAAGTTACTACAAATCACCTGAAAATGTCTTATGAAGAAATGGCAAAATAATGTCAATGACCTATAATAAGAGTAAATGTTGTTCCCCCAATTAAGGAAACGTTATTGATTCAGTCTGTGAACTCACTCTCTCCACATCAAACCCTAACAGCATTAACAAGGCCTCAAGACACCAGCTGGTCAAGGCCTATCTCTGTGTGAGTGATTTAGAAATTCTCCACAGCTCAATACAGGTCTACCACCTTCTGAAATTAGAGCCCATTTGGGATGCCATATCAATCTTTAAATGCCCAAATGATGTATTTTACTTAAATTGTATATTCATTTTTATTTATATGCTTCTAAACGCACAGAAAACTGAAAAGCATGTCCCAACAGAAACTTTTTCTACCTTAAAATGGCCCCTTAGCTTCCTTGAGAAAATTTTGAGTTTGAGGTTTTCTATAACTACTGTATTCATTCCAAGTTTTAGAGACTGGCTCTTCTTATTCATTTGTTTGGAAGTTTTGCCTTTTATTCTAAGTATGACCATGTATCTTGCATTATTGCTTTGACATATATGAAGCATAACTGTGAATCTCAAGGAGAAATCGACGAAACCAGTACCTCTACCATAAGATGAAACAAATTTCAAATAATCAACATTATATAGATCATGTTCCCTGGACACAGTGCAATCAAATTAGGAATTAACAATAAAAGAATAACTTTTTTAAAAAAATCAAGTGGATCCTGGGTCATATGTTCACAAACATACAGCTATGAAGGACAGTACCAGGACAATAACTACTGGGAAACTTTTGAATATGGACTCTATACTGTGGACTAGGTGGCATTACTGTATAAATTAACTTTCTTAAGCATACTAATAGCATTG